ACTGAGAAGCATCCATGGCAAGCCAAGGATTAAGGGAACAGGATTTGCTGAGAGAAGGCAGCCCACCCAACTCCTCATTGCAGCAGGCTTAGCCACCGAAAGTCCACCTTTACAGACACAGCCTCTATGAAGCTGCTCCTTGAGCCTTGAGTTCAAGTCTCCAGTGGAAGGAGACACCTGGGATGTGCTGGAGGGTCCCAGAAGAAGCCTCTCTGCAGGTGTCTGTAATTCAGATGCGGTCGGCTTAGGGAAGTGCTCCGGGAGGTCGTGGGAATAGCTGGGCTCAGGGCCTGAGTGAAGGAGGCCAGGGAGCCTGGTGTGACAGCTGTGCTGTTCTCCTTGGTTGCATGAAAACGACAGTTGAAGGCTTGCTTTCTCTCCAGACGCTTAATGGCTGGCATTTTTTTTGCCGATGGTAACCCGTGCTCTGCTGCACGAGGCTATTTGGAACTTTAATCCCACCCTTTAAAACATCTGCTGTTCCTAGCAGTTGTTTCATTTTAATTTTTCTTGTTGACATCTCTGATTCCACACTTTCTCCCTGCATTAGCCCCAGGGCTAGGGCTAGGCAGAGAGAGATTGATTCCTGGCCAGTGTGATGGGTGAATTGGCACTTCTGATCCACCATTGCCCCACAGCCCATCTGAGATCTCCTTCTCTGCCTGCCTTATGAGCCCATCAGCAAGGCTGGCTGGGGAATTCTGGGAGTTGAAGCGCACCCATCTTAATGTTGCCGAGGCTAAGAAACACTGGGCTAGAGCGCTGCAACAGAAGCGAAGCCTGGAGTTATGTTTAAGTGCAGCTTTACAATGAACCAAATACCATCTCTTTCACAGCCAGCCTTGTTCATCCGTTTTGGAAACAAAATGCTGATTTACCCGCTTTAAAACAGCCTGCTTTTTCCCACCTCGTCCATCCCCTGCAATTACGTTACCAGGAGGCGAGCTGAAGGCGACTTTGCTCTACTTTACTTATTTTGAACGGCAGTTAAATTGGCCAACCGGTTCCAGGGCAGTTTGCTTGAGAAAACGCAGCAACCCAGGAAGAAGTGGGAGG